GGTGTCCGGTGATGTCCGGACCGGTCCAGACACTGGTCCGGAAGACAGTCCGGAAGTGTCCGGTGTCCGGGTCCGGGGTTACCATGTTTTGCTGTCATGTGTTTGTTGTAAGCAACTGTGCCTGAGTAATCGAATTGTGGAAGAGTACGTCACCTTCTGGTTGTTACTTCCACTTGGTATTGTGGCCTTTTGTACCTGTTCTTATGGGTGGGCTCAGTGTGGGCGACTCCCAAAGGCTGTCCCTGTTTTTCGGAGCACATGGAGAGAGATCAGGGCGCTGGAGGCAGTAGTCATGCTCTGTGTGTTAGTCACAAAACTGGCTGGAATGCAGAGACTTTCTGTCATCCTGAAGGCCGATTTTGGCTTGAACTACCTGTCCAGTGACTGACTGCTATTTACATGCTACATACAAGTGTTGATAAGCAAGTCATCAGTCCGAGTCCTGCTGGATACAATAATGCTAGGGGCTATGCCTATCATGAAAACAGAAGAAGCTGAAGCATGCGATGCATTTGGGTGTACTGTGGATTGTCGAGGTTTCAGCCCTGTGATGAGTTGGCGAAAATCTGTTGACAAAGTCTGTTGCAGACCCTCTTTTCCCAGGCTGTCCCCCACCTCCCCCCCCCCCGGGGCCCCCTTTTTGTTGATGAGTCAACGAGCTGTGATAATCATGCGTATTGTGGATGACCACCCACGGAGAAAGACGAATGGAACAATGGGAGAACGGTGTACATGTTTTATTTGCATGCCGCCAATATGGGGAACTCCAACGGTGAAAGACGAATGGAACGAGTGCAGAACAGTGTACATTGTACTACATATTTCATTTTCATGCCTTAAAAAAGGAAATAGAGTAATGAAACCAGGTGTACTTCGTAGAGTGCTTTCTGAAGTTCTTAAGACATGGAAAACACAAGGAGGCACAACAATACGAATTTCACATCTACATGCATTACCATGCAATAAAGAAAAATGTGAGCCCATCATTTCACCACGATGACATCACAAAATCATTGAAAGACAATGCAAATGAAATGAGTGAGGACAGACACTCTCACAATATTCTTTTTTTATCACAATCACAGACTTCTTTTATCATGCTCACAGTGTGATATATCCTGATTTAGCCTCACCAGTTCTGTGGCTTAATCTGGGTCAATGGCCTTCATCAATGACCACTTGTTGAGGTTTTGTGTTTATATGAGTTCAGTGTGCATCTATGTTGTGACATCACAGTATGTAGACCTGTTTTTTTTAGGGCCACCATTCCTTCCCTTTTAATTTTTGCTGTTGTCATGGCAGGTTCACAGACATTTTTGTAGGGAAGCCTTGTGTGGAGGAGGACTACATCGTCGAAGACATTAATCCTCAGCAATGTAGGCTGCGCGATATGACGTGAGTACTAGTCCAAGCTGGCTAACCTGAGTACCAATCCAAACTGACTGAAAGAAACTTATGCGAATCTCCGTAACATATTAGCTGACGAAATGTGCTCCTTCTCAACATTGGGATGTGTTTGCAGTGCACTCCATAGAAAATGTACACCCTCCTTTCTCCTGTAGGTCCTCAGTGTCAAGGCTACGAGCTGAACATGTGAACAGCCATGTGGAAGGTCTGTTGTCCCGTGTATAGATAATGGACATCAGGGAGTGAATGACAGATTCCTGGTAGAAAATCAAAATTGAGAAGGATTCTTGCAGTCCACTCTTCAGCCTTCAGCAAGGTCCAATAGAAGATATTGGAGAGCTGGGTGACATGGGATGGCCAACTGGGGCAAGTCACCCAGGCAGGCACACACCAGGGTCACCCCGGGCAACTCAGAAGGCCTGTATTGTTTTTTCTTTGTTTTTCGGACCGCTGATGGGGCATTTCTGCGCCCGCCAGGATCATCCTGAATCCGAGCTTCTTTTTGTTTTTCAGTCCTTGGGTTGGGGATAGCTGCATATGAATAGGGTTTGAATTGCCAATGCCTCTGCCGCAACAAAAATGTGCCTTCTGATGATTGCACTGGATGTGGGCAGGCTGCAGGGGGCCTGCCTATTGGCCACCAGGGGCTGGCAGCGCAAAACATCGAGTGCTCCTACTTTGGAGATTTTTGTGCTCAGAGTTGTGCGCTTGAATCACCAGTCCATCCATCCGAAGCTGAATTCACAAACCAAAAGTTTCATTTTTCCAAGCCTAGTGTGAGGATTGAGCCCTTCCAAGCCTAGTGTGAGGATTGAGCCCTCAAGTAGGGGCCTTGCCATGATGAACATGTTTTGGGCTAAGGCCCCACCAAGCCTCGTGCCCGCCCTATAAGTGAAGGCGGGCCAGCAAATCAACAAGAGCCCTCTGTGCCAACATTTCACGATGTGGGGTCCATACAGTTGCAGCACGCCAGTTGGTTGGAGTGCACCGAGTCTCGGATTTCAGCAAATGCTGAAATGCCCAGGGCCTCTGAGTTAGTTAGGCCCTGGGCTGTGAATGTGAGGCCGACAATGCATGCTGGGTATAGAGGCC